CCCATGTGAATGAGTTTGTTGTACATGTTACTGCTACCCATTCACAAAAAACAAAAAGTGTAGTGTAAAAAAAGACAGGAGTCAGTTTTTGACAAGTCCTTTATTAAAGGCAGAAAACTAAAAGAATGTCCCCCGCAGTAGATCCAACGTCAATCACGATGTCCGTCGCCACCGTTGCCACCTGAAAAAAAGTCTAAAAAAAAAGCTCTGTTGTCAACGCTGGCTCCTGGCCATCTGTCTGCTCTGCTGGCTTGACAGTTCTTAAATTAGTAAGAGGTGGGGCCACCTGTGGACATCACGCATGTGACCCCACCCCATGTGACATCAATGAGCCAATTTCCCCAGTGGATGATGTCACATAGGGCAGGGTCACATGGGTAATGTCCCCGGGTGGCCCTGCCCCTTACATATTTAAGAACTGGCAAGCCAGTGGAGCAGACAGATGGCCAGGAGCCAGCATCAGGAGCGCAGCCTTTTTTTAGTCTTTTTTGGGTGGGGCAGCGGCGGCGGCGGCAGACATCGTGATTGACATTGGATCTACATTCTTTTAGTTTTCTTCTTTTAATAAAGGACTTTTTGTTTTTTGTGAATGGATAGCAGTAACATGTACCCCATACTCATTCACATGGAGGGGCGGGCTCTGGGGGCAGCAGACCCCCACAACCACAGCCCAGGGTTGTGGGAAAGAGGCCTTTGTCCCCATAAACATCCATCCATAGCAGACCCGAAGTGCTTAGTATGGATGGAGGGGAGGAACCCACCCCGTTTTTTTAATTAGTTTTTTAATTGCCAGCAATTCTTTCTTTTACATTCAGCTGTCAATGGGGAACCCCTCTGACAGCTGAAACATTAACGCATGGTTTTCACTACTAAAATACCGTGTGAATTGATAAAAAATAACTCATGCGGTATTTTAGTAGCGTTTTTTGGTGAATTCAAACATCTTTTTTTTTTTAAATGTTATGCAGTATCCTAGCGCATACTCGGATGCGGTAAGATACCGCTTAGTGAATTGTGCCCAGTGAGCCTCTCACCAGGCCCCCTACTGACCCCTGGGCTCAAATAAGCATTAGTGTGCCTGGGGGAGGGGGGACCTTGTGCCTTTCCAAACACTGTAATTGCTCCAAGAATGTTTACTTAAACTCCTGAAATGGTAAAGAATGAAAAATACACTCTAGCTAGCCTGCACTGAGAAATGATTGTCATGATGAATTGTCAATGATTCTTTGCTCTCATTTTACAGGGGTGGTCCTGCTTGCGGTTCAAGCTAGGAGAAAGCTACCTTCAATGTCCTCCACTCGCCTTCATTTGTGGAAAGTGGTTATTTTGTGGCACCAGGCAAGAACTGGCATCAAGGACCTCCATAAACACCGTGGCATGCAAGAGGTGGTTTGGAAGTAGCACAGCAACTTGTCCATCCCTTTCCTCTATGCTGCTTTTGGGGGTGCATAATTGCTTCTCGTTCCTGAATGAACTTGCAACAGATATTGGAGTCCCCATATTTTCAGATGTGGTTAAGCCGTGTGCTGGCAAAGAGCGGAGTCTGGTTTTGGTTTTCCTACCAATTGGGAGCTTGCAGGCATGTGTTCACATCAGGCCATGTATTTGCCTTTTTTTTGTGTCGAATAAAGACTATTTTGGTTCCTAAAAAAAGTGTCAGATCCTCTTGATTCTATTTCCTAGACTTAAGACGGCCAGATAATATGCAATGTGATTGATGAAAACTCAGTGCAATTTCCTCCACAGGTAGCTAATATCTGTAACAGGAGGGCCTACCGGAACAATGCATTCATTTAGAATGAGTCAGGCCCATACAGTACATATTGGAGGTTTGCTATGAAGGAACATTCACCTTCGCATACCTGAGCTCATATGGTTTGGGTCCAAATATTTCTGGCCATTGCAACGTATTGACTAATGCAGCTCAAGATAGATCAGGCATAAATAAAAGTGTACCTTGTCCATAGAATAGCCGGTCGTATCTGGGCACACAGATCTGGCCTATGCATAATTGGGTACATTCTGCCAAATGAGAATTTGGGATGCTTTATAATAATAAGGGGTTGGTTCATGCTTGCTTCAGGGGAAACACTACTAGTTGTATTTTCAGTAGAAAAAAAGTGCCAGTTTCCTAGATGCATTGAGGTACATAGGTTCAAGGTGCAGAGGTTGCATTGAGGTGCAGAGGTTCAAGGTATTCCATAGAAGAAGTTATTGTTCTTCCTAACTATACAGGTGGCACAGACACAAGCATACACCAGTCAGCTCGTCTACTCCTTCTCCACATTCTAGTCGGTAGCCAAAATCTTAATTGATCGATCAATATTCCTGGCACTGACAAAGCCCTGGAAATTGACCTCCATATGTTGGGACTTGACAATAGTCTGTAACATCAAGGAGCTTACAATCTAAGGGCACAAATTCATACACATACTAGGTCCAATTAACCTAATAGCATGTCTTTGGAGTGTTGGCAGACACACACGTGAAAAGAGAAAGCATGGAAATGCCTGACAGGTGCTGTCATGACTGGGGTTAGAACCCATGACCCAAGTGCTGTAAGCCATGAGTGCTAACCACTAAACCACTGTAACAGTCAGAGTTTGAGCTGGAATGTACAAAAGTAACATGATTAAAGAGAATGAAGCTATATAATTAGATTGGGAAATTAGAACTAGACATTAAAATTATTTTGGATATAAGTTTGAAAATATTTGACATTCAAAAATAGGATGTATAACTTTATAGCATTCATTAGGAAATGCATTAGTTGGGCGATCATTTTTGGAGAAAAAAAAAGGCAAGAAAATTAATAGAGTCAAAAATAATAGCGGTTTATGCTGGTGTCGGCTTAGACACAATTCATTGTAAGTGCGATGATAAAAATTTAAATAAATTCCTTGCTATACGTTCCATATATGCTGAGAGTCATCTGCAGACCATTGCTCCCAGAGCACAAGCGCTTTTGCTGGCTTATAAATTTGATCAGCACATTGATCTGGTGAGTTTATTCAATCTGTTCGGTGGTGGATTTGTGCACGGTGGTTTTGTATTGTTTCACATGAAGAATTTTGGATTGGAAGATCTTGTTTATTGATACAGATGCAACAATTTTTGATGTTGGACACTTGCACATTTAATTTGGACACTATTAATAATTGATTTATATAAAGATTTATGTAGTTACACTATAAGTAATAATTTTTATAAATTGTGTGGGATTATTAGCGCAAACCTGTTTTTTCATTTATAAAACATACAAAAAATTAAAAAGCCATTAAAACAAGCACACCTGCGAGTTTTCTCATCTGGCCTACAAATAAATGCGAACAGGACAAAGTCTGTGCTTGTGCGTCACCTAGGCACCATATCCAGCATTGCTCCTACAATTGCATCTACTCTGGTCAGAGATTTACAAAGAGAATTCAGTCTACCTGAAGACGTTTTTCCGTTGACCACTGAAAGGTCTTGATTGATTTAATTGGGTCTGGCTGAATGGCCAGCATCTGCTGTTGGACGTTATTCTTAGTAAAACAGGGCCATAAGGTCTTGGACTTGGAGTATGGCAGTCTGAAGCATGTGTAGCTGCAAAAATTAAACACTGTCTAGCCCTGAGCAAGTCATGGCAGTGACAAGCTACATGTATCTGCATCTGAAGTTTGTCATTTCATATTAGGAATCTGATGGGGGGTTTACAGGATTTTGTTCATAACAGTAAAGTTCTAAGTTAAAACTTACCCACGATCTAGCATCACCATTGCAAAATATTGGAAGCAGCCTGTGGTGTGGCTGACTATGTTAAAAGTAAACTGAATTGGATCATGGTTAATGATTATGCTCTCCTGCACCCTCCAAAACAATACTGCGAAATTTGACAGGACGTGGGACCCATGGATCCAGTGCTTGTCTGTAGACTAGCGAGTTCTTGGACAACCCTCTCTTATTTTCTTTTATTTAATATTTTTTTCTATTCTTTCTCTTTACTTTTCTCTCATATGCCTATTGGTTACAGTTGACCTTGTATTTACCTCCTCAGCCATTGATGTGGTCATACTCTCAGGTAATAGCTATTAACCTTTTTAGCTTCCCTTTCCCATGCCCCCCTCCCTTCCCCTCTATATATTGAATAAAGCCCTCATTGGGCTCATATGTGTGGATGTTATGGCACCCTTCAATTTTAAATAGGCTCATTGTCTTCTTGTGCCTTCTTTGAAAATTCCTGAGACGAATGTTGCTAACATTTTCACCATTTCACAAATCCCGTTAGTGGGACTCATATTTGTTATGCTTTCTTTATGAAGTTGGATATTTTATCATCCTTCCACGCTATGCAAACGTACTCTGTGCCTTATTTGTATGGAAATCTGAGAAGCACTTGTTATCTTTCTATACTCATTTTTTATTGTTTATTTGTGAAAATGAATAAACAGATTGAAACCTAAAATTCACCCATGGAGTATTTAACTCTTAGACTAATATTGGATATGAGGGGAATTTATCATTATCTCTATTTCTTAAGGGATAGGTTCACATTTAAATGCACAGGACCTGGATTCTTCTATGAAGCTCTGTAGCACCTTTCATCTATGAAGAAGATGGAATATACATTGCCCAACATATATGCTGAGCTGGAGACATACAGTAGATATCCATTATACTCTATGATATCACCCAGCACATGCAGCACATTTCAAAGCAGCACGAGGAGTGCAAGAGGCTTGACATCTTATTCATGCCATTGGTAGGCTGACCAGTGTAAAATGCATACTATATACTTTCAAGAGAATTAAATATATTTAGAAACTTTATGCAGGAAAAGGGGTAAAGTCAAGGTGAGAATCTGGATATTGCAGTTATACTGTACAAATTACAACTAAAAGGTGAACAAGTCAATAGTAAAAAAAAAGTACTGAATACTACTGTAAGTTTTGATTAGTTTAGAACAGCATGTTCTTTTAAAAAACGCTACTTAAAGAAAAGCCAATTCATGTGTTTATTACCGTTGTTGAAATGCTTGTAGGGTTGGCTCTTTCATCTCCTCGCTGTCTGCCTTTTCTTCAATGTCTTCAATAGTCTTGAGCAGCCTCTCTCTGCAATCAATAAATGATTTCCACAAAGCTTCAAGAACCTCTGCCTCACTTAGCTTTGTTCCAAGTAATGTTTGTACTTTTTCTAGTTCTAGACTTAGATTGTCAGACAGTACTCTACAAGAAGTTCTCTGCTCAGACATAGAGTTCTTTAGGTTATACTGTGCTTTGGTAAGTGTAGTATCTAAACCTGCAGACATGCCTGCTATCTTGTCAATGTCCTGTGAAACATCATTTAGGTCTTTTTCAAGGGCATCTGATTTGTCTTTATCCAAGCTAACTGCTCCCAACACTGTTTCTTTTAAGATTTGAAGGATTCCTAGAGAGTCTGCATGTATTCTTAAGAAGTCTCCTAATTTGGACAGAGATTCATGACGTCTTTCTGTGACTTGAGTTGCTTCTTCGTACAACTGTACACAATCACTGAACCTTTGTTGTAAAAGGGAATGATCTTCTGAAATGGTGAAGGTGCATAACTTGGCAAATTGGCTTTTCAGGTGACTGATATCTTCTTGCCGTTTTTTCATCTCCGCTATATGTTTCTGTGGGATAAAGAATGCAATTACTTACAAAATAATTGTACTTTGCAGATGAAGTTTACCTGTAAGTTGAAAGTGATATTTCACTTTATAGGTTAAATCTGATGGGTAGTGCCTCTCCATGGCTTCTTACTGTATATCACCAGAGGGTTTCAGCTGCACGATGTCCTAACCATTGTTGCTTTCTTGGCATTTCAAATTTTCTGCCCACCTGTGGGTATTGTCATTATTCCTGTTGCTACTCTAAAATAAAAACTAAAAATCCAAAAGCCCAGAATGGGATCTCCACCAAAATAATCATGGAATCCACAACAAATATTAAAAGTAAGGCAAGTTTAAAGCATAATTTCACCTTTTGATAAAAAAATTATAAATACACATTTTTTTTAAAGTAAAAAAATGAACATTTATTTTTTTTGCTGCAGGAGCCTGTAAAACATTACACCAGCGATCAGCAGATTGCTGGTGCCATGCAGGTCTCCTGCAGATCTGTCAGTATATCTGCTTGCCCCTACGGGATGTACAAGCAAGCAGATATACTGACAGGAAGACTCAGAGCCAGTTCACACTACAAAAATGCACTCTGGATGCATTCCAGATACGTTTTTTATTACAGTTCACACCACACACAGTTCCAGTGCAGTTTTGATACAGTTTGCCATGTTCGAGTGCAAAAAAAATGCAGCACGTTCCACTTTTTTTTCTGCACCAGAAACTGACTGGAACTGACTGCACTAGTGTGAACCAGGGCCATTGGAATACATGGATAGATGGAAAACACTGTGCATGCATTTCTGATGTAGAAAAAAAGTGCATTAAACTGCATCTAGTGTGAACTAGCCCACAGTGAACTACCATAGCACTCCACAGTGCCATTCTAGCTCATTGAGAAATACAAGCTGACAGCCACTAAGGCGGTCAGGATTAGTGGGTAGCACAGTACATAAATGGTCTGTAAAGATTAATGGGCAGCACAGTGGCTAAATGGTTAGCACTTCTGTCTGGCAGTATCAGGGTTGTTGGTTTAAATCCCAACCATGACACCACCTGCCTGCAGTTTGCATGTTCTCCCTATGTCTCTTCCCACTCTCCAAAGACATGCTTGTAGGTTAATTGGATCCTGTCTAAATTGGCCCTAGTATGTATATGAATTTAAGTTAGGGACCTTAGATTGTACACCCCTTGAGGGTTAAGGATTGATGTGAATGCACAATATATAAGTAAAGTACTGCAAAAATTGATGGAGCTGTATAAGTACCTGAAATAAATAAATAATTTTGTAATTTCTCATTCACAGAAGAGTGATGTGGACAGAGCCCCACATGGCCATGTTTTTTTAACATTTGCCAGCCAGCAGGGGAGTGGTAGTAGAAGATCAGCGGGGAATGGGGACCGGAGCGTTCAGAACATATTACATGTTACACCCTGAATATGGAAGGTGAACTGATCCTTTAACTGTTTAATATCTACCAAAAACTGAATAATTAGTTGCCATTGACAGAGTCAAAGTAAAATCTAAAACATAATGCAACTTTACTGTGAAAATGATATATTCTACATGTGTACAATTGGTTTGATGCGCAGATATTTCACCTCATTTAAAGTCACAGCAGCATCATGTTTAGAGGTATTGATCTCAGCAGCTTCCTGAAGCTCTCTAAGGAACTGTTTAATCCAGAGGGATGATTCAAGCAACATGTCATCAAATTTCTGATGCTCACTCAGGACAGACTCCAAATCGCAGATCCTAAAAAAAGTGATATAAACAGTAATGGTGAAGAAAAAAATGCATTGTAGAAAGTCTAACACAAAGACATTTTGGATAGTGAGCATATCTTCCCAATTGCGTTACATACACATATTCTGCTAGTGATTATGTGCAGTAAACAGGAGTAAAATCACAAACCTTTTAGAAACGGCATCAGGCAGACTATTCCATCTTTGGGACAAATCCTCTAGACGGCTCCTCATCGACTCTATGCTGCTTTCGATGGAGGTTGGATACAAAGATGCGGACAACTGAACCAGAACGGTGTACCTTTGTGATTGTGCTAACTCAGCATTAAGAGCCTGGTAAATCCAAAATATCAGTAGTTACTTTAGCATCAGCCCTATACATTATATTTAAAACACCCTTGAGAAAAGCATCTAGTGTATTCTGCATTAATTAGGTTCAATATTTTACCATCTTTCAGATGTTTATTAGGTAAAAACTGTTTAAAATGATGACCGTTAATAATATAACCCATCTTTAAAATAAACAGACTTCACAGTCACTGCCTATTCCATAACACTGGTACCTTTTATAGGCTTTTTGGGGTGTGCTTTGAGTGTGGGCAAGGACACAGGGGCCCCATGATCCCCTATTGCCCGGGGGCCCCATGAGTTGTCAGTCCACCCCTGTTTGCTAGTATTGTATTAAAGTAAATGATTAGTATTTTCATTTATTTGTTAAAGAGATTGCCTTGATGTATGTAGAAACCCAGCCACCATGTTTGAGCTCAAGTGGAGAAAAACACCCGTCTCTTCTTACATTGACATAATTGCTGGTGAGCTTTGGATTCATAAATGTACTTTATCTGTTACTCTCAATAGCAGCACTGCTTATTTGTTATATTACATGTGTTTTGAATGTACATTTTTTCTTTTTTTCTTCTCAGGTTCACCAACCCTGATCTTTTCAATAAAGTCTCAAGATTTATTGAAGGAGCATGCCTGTCAAACTGCACACAAGCCATGAGGTAAATTGTAGTTAGGGCAGAACAAGACAAAATTACTCGATAAAAATAACTTTTCTATATACATGGGAGAAAAATTATATACTGCTGGGTTTTATTCAGGGCTGGAAGTTTGTTGTTAGCTTCCAATTTCTTTGGTGTATTTTGATGTTCTAAATGAAAGACAACCACAATAAGTAATTGTTAGTTGTTGAAAGACATTGTATTCAAGATCATCAGACAGTGAGATAGCCATTTCTATTATTGTAAATGCATTATTAAATCATAAAAAAAATAATTAATGGTCATATGATTTATTATGACATGTGTTATGTTAAAATAGATATATAAACGGCATGAAAAAAATGTAATGTAATGACCTTCCTTGATTAACCCCGTGTACAGTTGATGATAATAAATCTGATCTAGAATTTGAGTTTGGTCTGTTTTCTTTTTGAGAAACCAGTCAATTCATATCCAAAGTAATATACTGTATATACACATAACTGAGAAGTACAAAGAGAAAAAACAAACTCCTTGAAGACAAATTCTCTTCATTTGGTAATTTTGTCTTAACAGCTGATAAAGGAAACCTTTCCTACAATTCTTACTTCCTACTTACACACTAAGTGCTGCCATTGTCAGTCTCTCTTTCTGCAAATGCTAGCTGCCTAACTGTCATGCTTGTTTTAATACCCTGAGTCACTAACTCAAAGTAAGTATGCAGTTAAAGACTTTTAACTTTCCTGATATGCCAAGTCTGACACAGACAGAACTGAAGCCAGAGTTAGCATAAAAACCAATAACCATGTTCAGAAGGAGATAGGCAATGAGAAACCCCTAGTTCTATTAGGAAAGGTGTACTTTAAACAAAAAATTTGGGGCCAAGCCAATAGAGAGCTCTTCTACTGGAAAATCCACAACGCTATAAATGTAATATAATAAAGAAATAATCTGAAAAATGTGAATACTACAGTCAAAATTACTTTAGCCTTCTGGACTGTACAGTCATATTTAGACACCCTTCACAACAGCTGTATTGGGAAAAGCGAGGTAACACTATGAAAATGGTAGCTAATTAAACTTGCAGCGCTGCTCAAAGCCAGAAAGCTTGAAATAACCCTGGCGGTACAGAGAGTGGGAGCCGGTGTCCTAACACCAATACAGAGCGATGAAAGAAAAAGGACAGGCACCACATCAACCTCCCCAGTAAGGATAATGGTGTTGGTCTCAGCTCCCACTCCAGCCATGCCCCCTGGAGGCATGGCTTGAGGGGCAGCTGAGGCACACACCATTATCCTTACTGGGGAGGTTGATGTGGTGTCCGTTCTTTTTCTTTCATCACTATGAAAATTGTGTTGCTAGTAAAATGTCTGTTTGACTTAATCTGTTTTTGTGACTTAAGGACTACAGTACCTAAAAACATGAGTTTGATAGCAATACGCTGTGCATCACTTTAGACATGTTCTGCAATAAAATGTTGATTTACTACTTTGTGTCTACAAAGAACGCAAATTGTCTAAATGAAAAAAATGAGGATACTTGTGCCTGTGGAAAGGTAGGACTGCAAAAAAAAAAAAAGGATGGCAGCAGTGATGAGGTGCATTGTTTATATTACCTTAGAAAGAAAATCTCCATAAAATAACTAATATAATGCCAGATGCCAAGCTTTTAACCATTATTCCAAATCCATGCATACTCGTTGACTATGACAGATGACACATACCTGGACTGCCTGCATTTCATTTTCGATTTTTGTCTTGTCTGCAGGGAATAGGTCTTGTGGAGGACTGAGCAATGCTTCATTTCTCTCCAGCCAGACAGTAAAAGAAGAAAACTCCTTTTCTTGCCTAAAAAACATAAGCAATCACTAGAGAGGCACATGACTGTGGCTTTAGATTCCTAAATAACAGACAGCTATCACAAAAAAAAAAACCCAGTTAACGGGATCCTAAAAATGAGCTGTAGAGATTCCATGCAATGCACAACAAAATCTATGTACTTTAATTTTTACTGAATACACATTATTACATGCCATGGAACAGACAAATATAAGATAATCATTGGATTGGAATATACCTTTGCCAATGTGCTAGCAGTTGCTCCAAGAAGGAGTGCCTCTCTTTAGCTTGTGTCCAGGCAGTTTCAATTCGTTGTTGAAGGTTTGAGGTCTGCTGCACTGCTTTATCCTTATTTGTGAGATTGCGAGCACCAGCAGTCAGGGAATGAATTCTAGTTTTCAAGGTTTCAACATCATGACAAAGATCCTGTGGGAAACAGCAAACACATTTTATAGAATATGGTAAGGATTGGGCAAAAGGCAACAAAAAAGAGGTAAGGAGAGAAGTAGTGAGGACAGTGTGATGTTTGATTATCGCTTTCCTCTGCAACTTTGCTCTGTTGATATATTTGCATCTGGTTTAAGTCTTCCTTCATCTCTCTACACCTATTATAAATCTACCAATCCTGTTAAAGCCAAAGGACATTGAGCTTCCTCAATGCTATATAGGGTACTTTATACAAGTGATGTTAAAAGAGGACCTAAACTCTGGAAGTTGTGCCCAAAAACAGTAAGCAGAGGGCCAAGCACTAGTCACTGGTATTGCTTGTAGATTCACTGCCACTCTCTTTCCGCTATTACTGATTTATCATTCCCTCTTCCACACTGGGCATCTGTGTGGAGTTGGTCACTTTGGCATCAGTGCTGTCCTTTTGATAACTGGCGATCCGGTGACTAACGGAAGAATAATCAAGCTACAGCAGGAAGGGTGAAGGAAGCTAAGACCCTCAGCTACAGCTTTCATCGCAGTGAGCAGCACAGTAGACCCATCATCAAATCTCCTGACAATAGCAGTCAAATGCAGCAGTGCCCTAAATGACACACTACAGATATACAGTTATGAGGTTCAGGGCATATTAATGCCTTGACACTGAAAGTGAACTGCCATTTTTCAGAGAGAATTAAAAGGCAAAAATGTAAAATAATGCAGCTACTACATCTAAGCATTGCTAAGTTGCAATATATTAACTTTGGGCTTAATGCAGCTTTAACAAGTTCCTGAATTCTGGGATGGGGCTTTTTAACCGATTTAAATCCACCCTATAGCAGGATAACTGCTACAAAGGCGGACTCCCTGCGCAAAATCCTGTATATATATGTGATCTGCGCTCCCGCCATGATCGCGGGTTGGGGTTTGTGTGCGCCTGCCGACCCAATGGTGCCGTGATTCTGTGCTGCACCGATCAATCAGCAGATTCAGGCCAGTGATGTGTGGCCTGGATCTGTTGATTGATCACTGCCCTATCAGAGATCTTCCTGTACCTGTGTTTACAGAACACAGGTCCAAGAAATGATGCAATCTTCTTTCCCAGGGACACATTCCATTACAGAGAGAGAGGAAAATAGATCTATGTGAGTAAAAGCAGCACACTGTTACAGTAAAAGCACAGCTAGGTCAGATTTAATATCCCAATCGCGCCCCCCTAGTTAACCCCTTCACTGCCCTGTCACTAATGTCATTAGTAGAGTGTACAGATTGTTTTACTGATCACTGTATTAGTGTCACAGGCAACTTCAGCTAGTGTTAGAGTCAGTAAGCGTCCCTCCCAGAAAGCATCAGAATGTCCCTTATGTGATCATTTTATGGTGACAAGTTCTCTTTACTGAGACATCCAGAATCTAACAGACCCTGCATGTCTCCCCTGTGCGCCAATAAATGTAATGCAGAGACCTCACGGGGCGGGGGGTTGGAGAGGCTGGCACTGTGTGGAAGCAATTGGGTGGCAGCGCTGCCACCGAAATGCTTCCACCTGCAGGTGAGCCCGCTGCTTGTCCGCAGGGCTAAAGGTAGAAAACAACTACATGCCCAAAGCCCGAACTACATGTCCCAGGCATCGGGCGATAGTAATCAAACATCCCTGCAGATATGGGGTCAAAATGTATAAGACCTGTGAGAGGGCAACAGATTATACATGTCATTTTTGGATTTACAAGGAAAACGATAGTCACGTGCAGCGCCCCGGATGCCCAGACTACAAGGGGAGCAGTGGCAAGATAGTTTGGGACTTGGTGTCACCCTTTTTCCATATGGGGTACCACTTATATGTGGACACTTTTTATACAAGCATGCCACTATTTAGACAATAGAATCTTGGAATTGGTGCATGTGGCACCATGCAACCTAATCACTGTGGTTTCCCCCAACGGCTTGTAAATACCTGTCTTAGAAAGGGGGAAAAGGCCTGCTTGAAAAATGCTGAATTGCTCACAGTGAAGTGGAAGGACAAATGGGATGTTTTCATCCTGTTTTCCATTCACACAGACACGACCATCCAAATCTCCATGGCAGCTGGTGTTGTTGAGAAGCCTCACTGTGTCCACGACTATAACCTTAACATGGGAGGGGTAGACTTCAACGACCAGATGATTAAGCCATACTTAGTTTTCCGAAAAGCCAGATGCTGGTACAAAAAAGTGTCTGTTTATTTATTTCAATTGGCTCTATATAATGCTTTTATGCTTTACAAAACAACTGGACAAAGTGGATCCTTCCTAAAATTCCAGGAAAGGATCATCACGCCCCTTTTGTATCCTGAAGATGCTGTGGCCCAAACCCCCAACACAGATGTAGTGAGCAGGCTGCATGAGAGGCATTTTTCCAATGCTATTCCTGGTACCCCAACCCAAAAAAGGCACCCCAAAAAAGATGTTGTGTCTGTAGCAGACACGGAATTAGGCGTGACACCTGCTTTTTTTGTCTTTCCTGTCCTGGCCTGGTCTCTGCCTCAAGGACTGCTTCTGTCGCTACCATACACCAGTGGAATATTAGTATAGGGTATAGCATGGTACAGTATAGGGCACATACATGCACAGGGTCATGAAAGATGTTAGACACCCTACCATTTGGAAGTTAAAAAAAAGTTTAAAAAAAAAATAAGAGAAGTAAAAAAAACCCATAAAAATAAAAGTAAAAACAAATTATAGAAACAAAAATAGTTGTTGTTTTATTGTTGTCAAGTTACTGTCTTATTGTTACTGTTTTATTGTTAACCATTGCTGTTTTCTTTGCAGTTATTACATTGCAGCACCGATCTGTTTATTCTGACAGCAACAGGGCCTTGCTCTCAGAATATACGTCAGTGCGTGCAGCGCTGTTGAATGAAATTTTTTATGGGGTGGCCAGTGGGTGGATCGCCCCTATGCTTCGGCATATATTTTTTTGGCAGAGATTTCTTCATCCACATTGATCGATGTGAATAGAAGAATCTGTTAGGTTCTTTTTTTTTCATTCAGCCCATGGCCTGAATGAAAAAAAAAGAACATTTCATGTGTGCCCACCATTAGAAGTGGGTGGATGCAGTGCCCACATAAGCTGCATAAAAAAAAGAACATAGCATACATACCCAACAAGGACTAGCATGGTTGAGTGGTTATACCAAGATGAAGCCTGCAGCAGTTGCCAGCGATCAGCTTTCATGTAAAAGCAATCCTAGTGGCTAATTAGCTGCAGGATTGCTTTTACACTGCTTTCTCGGGCAGTCCCATGCCATCGGGGGAACTTGAGCCAGTGTTTCTGCCAGCTGACCATAGAGCTGACTGGAAACCGGAATGGCACCAATCATCTCTATAGTCGAAGAAACCGGAAGCTATGAGCATTTCATCACTTCAGTTTCGCAGGATATAAATAGCGCCATTTATAAATTGGGAAAGCATCTGATCACACCGATCTTGGTAAGATCAGAGGACGTAAGGGCAGAAGAGATATCTAGAGTCTAATAGATCCCATATTTTCAGAAAAGAATACTTGTCACTGTCTATTGCTGTGACAGGGGATGTTTATAAAAAAAATGAAAGAGACAGCGTAAAAATAATAAAAAAAAATCAAAATAACTAAAAAAAAAAATGAAAGCACCCTCACCCCCCCCCCCCCCCCACATGTACGCACAACTGCTTGTGCAAGCGTGGCCTCGTGTTGGTATGTAATCAGCAGTTGCACCATGCATGTAAGGTATCGCTGCGAATGTCAGATCAAGGGCAGTAATTATAGCACTAGACCTCCTGTGTAAATCTAAAATGGTAGCCTGTAAAGGCTTCTAAAGCGTTGCCTATGGATATTAAAAAGGGTTGCGTGCACAGTTTTAAAGCATGTCATGTTTGGTATCTATTTACTTGACATACTGTCATCTTTTTTATTTTACCAAACAATTGGCCAATATATTGTGTTTTTGTGCATTAAAATAAAAAATTGTATTTTGTTAAAAAAATTTGCATTTGAAAAATCACTGCGCGAAGTACTATGTGATATAAAAAAATTGCAGCACCCACCATTTTATTCACTAGGGTGTCTGCTTTAAAAAAAACATAATGTTTGGTGGTTCAAAGTAATTTCCTAGCAAAAAATACTGATTGTATCATGTGAACAAAAAATGTCAGAAAAGGCTTGGTGGTTAGAAGAGTGACGCGTGGCATAAACTTCTAATGCTGGGTATAAAATGCCCCCCTCCCCTCCAAAATGACTCCTTTTTGGAAAGTAGACACCCCAAACTATTTCCTGAGAGGCATGTTGAGTCAATAGAGGAATTTATATTTTAACCACAAGTTTTTGGAAAATGACAAAAGAAAACATTTTCTTTTTTACACAAATTTATCACTTAAATATTATATTGCTCACACATGCCTGGGTATATGTGGAATTACTCCCCAAAATACATTCTGCTACTTCTCCATAGTATGGGGTTACCACATGTGAGAGACTTTTTGGCAGTCTAGCCGCGTACATGACCCTAAAATTTAATAAGCACCTTCAGGCTTTTAAAAGGCTTGATTTCCTCATTACACTTCTTGACTACCTATCACAGTTTCGTAGGCCCTGAAATGCCAGAATAGTACAATCTCACCGTCCCCAAATAACCCCTTTTTGGAAAGTACACACCCTATGGAATTTGATAAGAAGCATGATGAATATTTTGCAGATTCCGTTTGTTGCCACAAGGCTCCCAAAAAGTCTCTCACATGTGGTATCCCCATACTCACAGCAGAATATATGTTTTTGCCATTTTCCAAAAACTTGTGGAAAAAAAAAAAAATTCCATGGACTCAACATGCCTCTCAGCAGATAGCTTAGGGTGTCTACCTTACAAAAAAGGGGTCATTTGGGGGTGTTTGTACTGCCCTGGCATTTTAGCACCTCAAGAAATGCGCTATAACTTTCACACAAACCAAATAATTTGCAGTTATTGGGATTTTTTTACCAAAGACATGTAGCAAATTATATTTTGACCTAAATGTATGATGAAATTTGAGTTTATTGAATATTTTGTATGACAGAAATGAGAAAATATTGGGGTTTTTTTTTTCAAACTTTTCAGTCCTTTTTTGCTTACAGCGCAAATAATAAAAAAAAACCAAATACAACCAAAAGAAAGCTCTATTTGACTGAAAAAAAATAACATAAATTTAATTTGTACAAAATTGCATGACCACACAATTGTCAGTTAAACTAATGCAGCACCGTATAGCAAAAAATGGCATAAATTCCAATATGTATACCATAGTTTGTAGATGCTATAACTTTCACACAAACAAATTAATATACACTTATTGGGATTTGTTTTTTACCAAAGACATATAGCAAAATTTTGGCTTAAATATATGATGAAATGTGAGTTTATTGGATATTTTTTATAAGGGTTTTTTTTCTACATTTTCAGTCTTTTTGTTTATAGCGCAAAAAATAAATGGTGTTCAATCACCACCAAAATAAAGCTCTATTTGTGTGAAAAAAAGGACATAAATTTTGTTTGGGTACAACATTGCATGAGCACGCAATTACCAGTTGAAACAGCGCAGCGCTGAATAGCAAAAAATGGCCGAATCAGGAAGGGGGATAAATTGTCTGGAGGGCAAGTGGTTAAGATAGTTAAAATTATATAAAATTAGAGGGAAACTTTAACAAAGTGCAACATCTAAATTGCAATCTATTTGGTAATTAATATTCTTATTGAAAAACAGAATTACCCGATGTGAATTCAGCACTTTGTATGTCTCTGCTGCAGAAGAACAGTTCTTAACCGGACATGCAAGAGAAGCTTCAATGTTCTCCAAAGAATTTTGTACCTGCAGAGCAAACAACAGCAGCATAAAGACTGAGTTATGTTTAGAGCAATTCTGACTACACATTCTGCACTCAGGATTTTAAACACAATCACAGGACCACAGGATCATACTGGAAACACATAAAGGCAACAAAAATAAATCCATCCAAAGGCTCAGCATGACCACAACAAACATATTGCCTGCAAGATTTAAATGTATTATGTTTTAGTATATTCATAGCTAACACCTTTAAAAGAAAGTCATCAAAATGTTCTTGTGCAGAAATGCTTTCCCTTGTTTGTCTAGCCTTTCTCAAGTACAGGATTTTACATGAGGATATTTCACATGATCTTTAAATACTGTCATATTATTATTATTATACAGTATTTATAAAGCGCCAATAGTTCGCTCAGTGCTGTACATTACATATTAAAGTTTTATTAAACACACAACAGTAAAATCAGTCTCTGTATATGCAGTATATGCAGCATGCTTGTTATACTCACTGTGAAACCTAAGGGATTAATCCTCCGTATTGTGTAAAAAACTGCGTGAGCCTGTCTTCTTTGTTACTCCCCTTCTTCTAATGTCCCCAATTCATCTGCTGATTGTACAGAGCTCTAGTAGTCATTCTGCAAATGCTCAGTTTAGTGTGTATTGTTATAATTTTGTTTTTTCCTTGGAAGGGTGCATGTGATCAGTACAGGGCCAATCAGTACTGTTTAGACAGAGGGTCTGAAAGGGTTATGCAGCCTCATAGGACAGTCAGAGCAGAATGAAAACCCCTCCTACAAGCTTTAACCAGTGCTCAGCAGAACACTGATAGAAGTCGCAAGACTGCTATATACTGCTGATGAGAAATGGTATTTAGCAGTTTATATTTACTAAAATAATTGCATTTCTGTGTACTGTGGGAGACCAGATATAGTGAATGCAGGGTCCTGGATTTAGTAATACTTTAATTGAGAACTCTACATTCCTACTTGGACTAGGTTTGTTGCAAAGTATTTTTACTTCATACTGTAAAATAAAAATATAATAGTCACTGCTAACTGATATTTTGACAGTGGATGTGCGTCTTTCTACCTGATTAAAGGCCTCATCAAATTTTTGCTGCTGTTCGGCATGTCCCAGGATACTTTCTTTCAGCTGCTGAGCATGTTCTTTGAGTCCATCCCAGTCCTTAACCATTTGTGAGAGTCTGGATTTTAGCCGAGCTATCTCAGGTGGGCTTACAAATTCAGCTAATGACTGGCTGTTAGCTTCAAGATCTGCTATTGCATTACTTTTCTCTTGTAGTACCTTTAGTATTTCCTATAGCAAAAAAAAACAAAAACTTTATTTTTTTACCAGTACCTTATTCTGACACTAACTTCAAAGTACATAAGTTTTAATTTTTAAAGAGCAATGCAAACAAAGTAGCCCTTTTGAATCATACAGTTTCCAGCTTTCATGAGTAAAAAAAACTGACGGATGAAAACAAATATAAAACTACTTTTCATTGGTGAAAATAAATGCCCATTTACTCTTAGAGGATCTACTTTTGGACAGGTAACCTTTCTGTAGCATGTTCTTTGTTTTCAACATTGTGTGGTCTGTCCTATCCCAAACAAACCTTCAACCACAGATAATAGTACTGATCAGTTTATACAGTATATGCATTCATCTTAAAGGGTTACTCCACCAAAACGTATATACATATCCGTAACTAAAGTAAGCCATGGATTATGCGATTTTCTTTCCTTCCACCATGGGTGGAATTGCTCATTTCCTCCATCAATGCTGTCAGTGTTGATGGGAGAATCTCTCCAGCATTAGTATTGTGTTCTGCTGGTGAGGAGCCTTCACTGCTGGCAGAACACAATGTTCAGTGCTAGCGGCTATATTCGCCGGCAGTGATCGCATGCAAAAAATCCAACAGGCTGGTTGTACTGAAGTTGATCAATGGATCAACTACAGTATAACCAGCCTGCCCATAGATGGATTGAATTTCAGCCAGTCCCTGCCAAGACTCGATCCATCTATGGCCTGCTGGAGACATAAGAGTAGTGTCACCCTACCCCCTTAGGAGTTGCAGTAGTTTTTTGGGTTCCCCTATAGACCTGCATAGCCAGGCAACATGCATTTCCACTCTAACTTGCTTTCAGGAATCAGTAACCAGTCCTTGAGCTTGTTTTGATGTTTTATTGAGGGAGATTTCAACTTGGCTATGGTAAGGGGTGTATGGAATCCCCAATGGAACTGAGAAACCGAGGACAACTTCTTGAACTATATACAGTGGTTACAGCAAACAGTCGCTTCCAGAGAGCTAGCCAGCATCTCCTGTAGTACCACCCCAGAACCCAGATAAATCTCCTTCTTTACCCAGCTGTCTGGAGGAATCTCTGAGCAGGGGATCTGGTGTCTGCCATGTAAATAGTGAAACAGTCCTGGGTGGCAAGCTAATCCAGCTTCTCACTAGAATGCATCCTTCCCCTTTCTGGCCCAGGGGGTGCAGGTTTACTCTTCTGTGTGGCTGGTGGGTCGGTGGCTGCTACCAGGCCTTCTAGCTGGGCCGCTCCTTCCCTGCTACACAGATGGTCCTTGCTGGCGGGGGTCTGAGCTTTCCTCCTGCCAAGGAGGGTGCTATAGTAGGATGACTTTTCCTTTATATTATGGCACATTACAAATAATATACTGTAGATATAACAGATACAAGATAGATAGATAGATAGATAGATAGATAGATAGATAGATAGATAGATAGATAGATAGATAGATAGATAGATAGATAGAGTAGATAGACAGACAGAGATTATACTGCATATTAATATCACATAAAAAAAAATATGTAGGGGAGTGCCATGTCCACCTGAAGCTCCGCCACACTAGGGGGAAGACAGCCTCCCGAGCTCCGCTCCCGGCCTGCAGCGATTTATAAGCGGGCCCAGTCGCTGTGGCAACCCCTCTGGCACCCAACAATATGGTCCGGGGAGCGACCCGACACCTAGCGCCGCCGCTAATTAAGCCCGTTAAAGAGGCCTTATCAAAAGCCTCATCCAAGATGACTGCCGTGCCTGCAGCAGGAAGCAAGACACAGTCACAGCCATATGCAGCCCTGAAGCCAGCTCATTCCAGCCCTTCCTGCACATCAGATGGTGAGTCTGACACTGACCTGGCGACCCCCCTACATGCTCCCATCACTGACCCATCTACATCTGACCTTCTCATGCATTTTGAAAGGATGCTACATAAGGCCCTGAAACAAACCTCAGACCGCATCATTGACAAGCTGTCTAAGGAAATCCTGGAATTGGGGCAGCGCACCACTGACTTGGAACACCGGGTCGACGACCTTGATACCTCTTTTCAAATACACTCAGATGAGCTTGAGCTTTTACGTGACAAGAACGCAACATTACAATCTCGTCTTGAGGACTTTGAAAACCGAGCTCGCCGCTCAAATTTCCAGAATCTATCGTAGATGTCCAATCCACTGTCACGGCCCTGTTTCAAGAACTAGCCCCTGCAATACCAATAGAGCGACTAGAAATAGACAGAGTCCACAGAGCACTGGCTCCATGCAGCACTGATGCCCCCCCCACGTGATATCATTGCCAAGCTGCATTTTTTCCACTCCAAGGAAAAGCTCCTCCAAGCCGCCCGCAATGCAGGCTCTCTGTCATTCCAGGGCCATTCCTATCAGCTGTTTCAATACTTATGCCCCACAACGATCTCAAAACGCAGAGCTATGAAGCCTCACCTTCAAGCGCTCCAACAGCATGGCATACCTTATAGATGGAGCTTCCCATTCGCAGTACGCTTCCATTTCCAAGCCCGAGACTACACCTGCAAGACCCCTGAGGACCTCCTCGACACATTGCGAAGTCTCCAACTTCTTCCATCTGCGACCCCCCCTGAGGGCTCCCGCCGACGATCCGCATCCTGCTCTCCACTAAAATTGCATCCTTCTCATCTCGCCACTGGTCAACTCAGTGCCCACAAGAGAGGACGTTTCTCCTCACCTGTTCCAGCCCACCAAGACTCCATGGACTGATGCTTACTTGTCCGCTTCGGCCCCCTTGCCTGCACACCATGGGTCGTGCCAACCTGCCTGTTGCACACCCTCGGCCTCCATTTTCTCTCACCTCACACTCTACTGAGAAACTTATGTATCCTTGCTGACAATTAACCCCAACTGTTAAAAATGTATGTATATTGTGTTTTTTTTTGTATTGTTTTTTCTTTCTCTCTATCTCCCCCCCTGCTTTGTACTTGATTGTATGTTTCTGTTAACAGTTGTGCTTATGCACCCATTTAAGAATCCTGATCCAAGCCACACACACGACTAGTCCACGTTAAAGCCCATATTGGGCAATGCCAAAGGCATGTGTCACCTGACTCCAGGGTCCCCACGATTCCCCGGGAACTTAGATTCCGGCTTTATTTGCAGGAACCTAACACCGTATGTTTACATACTTGCTGTCTTCCCCTTGGTGCACGTAATTGCGCACTCGCCACTAGCCCCTGCGATATAGCATTTTTGTACTGCTCAGGCTACTTATGCTCCCTGGGCCTCTCTTCCTTACAGAGACCCTAGGGATCACCACCTGGGTTACAAAAGCCCCCCCCCCCGTTACTTTTGCTTTATGCCCCTTCCTACACTTACTCCCCCCCTAACTTTTCCATGTGTCTCCTTACACCCAACTCTTCACCTCTACAATTTCTTCTCCTACGCTCAAGGCAATTTCTTACCCGCCTTGATGAAGATTTATTACTGCAGACTTCTTCACTCATTCCTCCCATGGGTTCCCTGAATATTCTTACCCTGAATGTTCAGGGTCTTAACATACAGCAGAAGCGTAACAAAGCTTTCCGATCATTTGCGTCACACAAGGCACACATTGTATGTCTACAAGAGACACATTTCTCTACTACATCCACTCCTAAATTTTTTGGCCCCTGCTACCCGCAGGTCTACACCGTCTCTGCTGCCTCCAAAACGCAGAGGTGTTCTCATCGCCTTCGACCGCACAACCCCCTTCACACTATTTTCTGAAATCAAAGACACTGAAGGGCGCTATCTTCTCCTGACAGGAAAACTGCTAGATTCAGAAATCACCATTGCTGCTTATTAAGCACCCAATCAAGGTCCACTACCATTCCTCTCCCATCTGTAGGCGGTTATTGACCACCACAAACGTGGCACTCTCTTCATCTGCGGAGATTCTAATTGTACCCTTTACCCCTTCCTTGATAAGTCGCCCCAACCTTCCCTCTCCAAACATGATTTTCAATCTCTACTACACCGTCACTCCTTGGTTGACACCTGGAGAAAACTAAACACGGCAAAACGCCAATATACCTTCTACTCTCATCCTCACAAGACATTCTCGCGAATTGATCATATCCTCACGACTGTCAGTTCCTCCCCCCGCCTCTTGACCTCCGCAATCCTACCCATACCCTGGTCGGACCACAGCGCTGTCTTAACATCCATTGCATCATTGGCACCTTCTCCTTCTGATCCCTCCTAGATCCTTAACGACAACTTACTATCCCACCCATCACACTGCTCGGACATCGAAAGTGCCCTTAGGGAATACCTCTCCTATAACAACACCCCAGATATCCCCCCCTTCTTCTTTGGGAGGCACAAAACCTGTCCTACGTGGGTTTTGTATCAGTAAAGCATCTATTTTGAACAAAGAGAAAAGACTACAATGCTCCCGACTCGAACAGGCTTATAACCAGTCCCATCAGGCTTTCCAATCGGTTCCGTCATCCACTAATCGAAAAGCGTTAGAACAATCACGTTTGGCTCTTTATCTTTTCCTCACGGATCAGGCAGAACTGTCACTCCACAGGTCTCGACATAAGTACTACATCAAAGCAAATAAGCCCAACACGTTTCTAGCCCTTTCATTTCGGAGACTAGATCAGATCACCAAACCAATCCGACTACGGGTCTCCTTGGGCAACTTCACTAGTAACCCTGAGCGCATTCTGGATGTCTTTCGCAAACACCTCTCATTACTCTACTCCCCCTCCCATCCCCCTCCCATCCCCTCCCCTTTGACCCATCCCACGCGGAAACTCTCTTAGCCCTCCTCTCCTTCCTGAAGCTATCAGACCACCACCTATCGGCACTAGAACAACCAATAACTTCCACTGAAACCTCAAACACCATCAAAAACCTGAAGCTACGTAAGCACCCTGGCCTGGATGGCTTTTCCACCGCATACTACAAAAAATTTGCCCACCTCCTCTCCTCTATTCTAACAAATGCCTTTAATACAATTCTGTCCGGCCATTCTTTCAACCCAGACACGGTATCAGCTAACATCTCCATGATCCCAAAACCAAACTCTGATGACACGTTGTGGTCAAACTACTGACCAATTTCCCTCCTCAACATAGACATTAGACCGCCGCTCATTAACAAACCCCATCACAACCCACTATATTTCCCTATGGGATAAACTGAAACTTCGCTACTCCACTTCGTGAGATGCATTCTCTCCCAGCCTCTGAAATATTCAGATATCTACAACTACAACACTTTTATGCTCCATATACTACCACTCACCGTCCTGTCCACCCGATGTCCTTCTTTGAACGTGCTTGCTACAAAGACCCGCATACAAAGACCCGCATAGGAGAGGACTAATTTCAGACATCTATTCCCTCCTTTCTATCCCTAAATCCTCACCCCCCCCCCCTTATGTCCGCAGATGGGAGACGGACCTTGGCCGATCACTGGATCCTGCAGACTGGGACCTTACTGGACCAATACCAAATCCTCATCACAAAATGTAGTAGCTCTAGAAACAAACTATAAAGTATTGACTCGTTGGTACCTGGACCCAGCGAGGATCTCTAAATACACCCCAAATTACTCCCGAGTGTTTCCGAGGTTGTGCGGTGGCAGGAACCTATTATCATATCTGGTGGGCTTGTTTGGTAGCCCAAGCTTTCTGGACAGACATTTTTCATATTTTATCTAGGCTTAGCACAAAGCCGCTCATACCCGACCCGATAGTAGCGCTCCTAAACTTACGCCCTCATGGCATCACTAAATCACAATTTAAACTCCTCCTACAAGTCACCACGGCTGCCAAGCAGATAATAGCCAAATCATGGAAATCTCCCTCCTTATGCACAGTAGCAGTTAAGAACAAGGTTACGCAGGCTATGATCCATGCTAAAATCGAAGCTACCATTTTAGATAATATCCCTAAATTCATGGTAATCTGGAACCCATGGGTGGAATGCTTCCTTCCACCTAACTTTGATGATTCCCTCCTCCTTTCTTGATTTTACTACCCCCACTGCCTTGTTACTCCATCAATCTGTTATCCATTATCTTCAGTCTCGAACCCCCCCTATAGGATCCTAGGAGTCACACGCTACCCTCCCACTCCTCTATCCTCTTCCTAACTCTTCCCCCTTCTAACCCTCACCTTTATTCTACCCCCCCCCCTCTTCTCTCTTACCCCCTCACAATAGTTTTCTCTTTTCTTTCCCCAACACCCTCACTTGAACTTAGGGAGAACACCCCTGTAACCACTTTATACTAAGCCAACATATAAGTCAAAATGATTGCATACAACTATGCCTTCTCTCAGTCATCTAACCTGCAGCTTTTTGTATTTTGGTGCTTTTCTCCCTTCCCTTACTTGGACACCATATCTGTTTTCACAAATTGCTTTGTACATATGTCTATGGATTGTCCTATGCCTATGTTCCCATCCCTTGAAAACCAATAAAACGTTTAAACAAGAAAAAAAAAATGAAACCACAGAGTGAAGGAACTATTTTGTTACATAAAAGAAAATAACAAAGTCCGTTTACTATTATCTGCCTTTTACTCTGTAAAATATTTAAATTATAAATGCTGATTATATATCAATTGTTATTCTAATAATTTACCTTGATTTGGTTGACTTGCATGTCTGCTGAAATATTTGACAGTTCAAGGTCACTTAGTTCCTTTTCTTTATCTGAAATCAATGTGGAATGCATCTCAAAATCACGATCAAACTTCTGCCATTTATCTTTCAACAGTTCCATTTTGGTAATGCTTGAATTGAATGAAAAAACAAATAACATTTTAATATATACACAACAATAACATCTTAATAAACACCTGAATTCTAAGAATCAGAAGCTCTGCAATCTCACTAAATTAGAACAGTAAGTTTATTCTTACTTCCTTTTCTGGATCACTTAGGCCCTTAGGCGAATGTATAAATTCTCATGTCATCTTAATTACATTGTTCTCAGTGAAGATGGTTCACATCAATGCGGTGTGATTCTGATGCAGCAAAAAAAAAAAAAGGATAATGCACGAGTTTGATTCTGTTCGGTGCAATTTCAGCTCCATAGACTTCAAAAGGGACCGGATTTAATTTCCATTCCTGTGTTCACATTACTGCAAATACAGTTTTTGTTTTATAGATTTTTATATACTTTGGCCAGCTGTGACCAATCCCCTCAAAAATTGCTTCAAATTTGCATTATAATTGCACTACGCCACTACAAAACTGCTATAATTTGCACTGCCAGAGTGTAAACTAAGCCTTAATGGGCCCTTTTCAACAGACTTTGTTGCAGTAACTTACATTGTTGCAATAGTTTGACATCAGGTTAAGATTAGTTTCAAGATCAGTTATTGACAAGTACATTTGACCTGCAGTTTACCTCTTCTGACCTGCAGTTGACCTGCTTCAAACAGCTTTTGAGTTCCCATAGGTTTGCATGGGAATAAAAGCCATAAGCTGCAGTAGCTGACTGAATACTGGGCAGGGCCGTTCCACAGAAGATGGTCTAATGACTAGCTTCTTTTGAACAGGCAGGGTTACACACAGATTGAAAATTGGTAGGTTCCTGCTGAACCGGATGAACATCTATATGTGTATATCTAGCTTTGGTGTTTTTTCTTAACTCCAAGGAAGGTGGAGAGGAAGGGGGGAGAAACTGAATAAAATTCTGGAGTTTTGCTTTATTCACCTCTTTGTATTTCAATTATTTTTATTAACTTTTTTAAAAACAATTTAACAAAGAAAAACTAGAGCAAAAGACACGCCCACGCAGGGGCTATTAGTGGCACATAAAAAATAAAGAAAACAGTGCTGTAACACAAACAATGTAAAAGATGCGCCCACATAGGGGCCATTAAAGGCACATAAAATACATAAACAGTGCTATAACACCAACAATACACCAGCCAGAGGCAAGTAACTACCACTTCACAGATTCAAACTGTAAATAAAGAGGAAAAAAGAGTAAAGAAGGAAGAAGAAAACAAGACCAGAAGCAGGAATCCGGGAACACCAATACCATACAGCATTATGAACCCAGACTAGCCGGGGGGAGCGTGGGAAAAGCATATGTCAACCACGGCTCCCATATTTTCAATAATTTCCATTGTGAGTCATTACAGATACTTGACATCTGTTCATTGAGCATCAAAGTGGTCATACGGTCCCGTACCCTCTGAAGAGGAACAGACAGGCTTTTCCAGGCCTGAGCAATTGTTCTAGTGGCTGACAAAAACAAATAGGAAGCCAACTTTTGCTGATGGGCCAACAGGGCCAGTATGGGACAATGAAGCAAAGTATACCGAGCCTCTCGGCGTATGAAGAGATGTAACAATGTGTAAAGAAGGTCAAACATACAAAACCAAAAACCAATCAATCTTGGGCATGACCACCATATATGCAACACATCTCCACGATGGCCACAACCCCAAAAGCAGCAATCACTATAAGCAGGGTTTGCCTGTGCTATTCGAGTCGGGACCCACTACCAACAAAACAGTACACTTTGTATGCAGCCTCCAGTGTGGCTGTATTAAACAAACATTTAGCTATAAGCAACCAGGCCCTGTTCCAGTTCTCCAGATCCATGATCGCCCCCAAGTCACGCTCCCATTGGGCAACATATGATAGATAGGTACGCATTGAGTGCCTATTCAAAAATGCATAAAGTAGGGAAATAAAGCCTGGAGCTCCTGGACACTGTTGGCAAAGCTGTTCAAATGCAGATTTATAATACAGGAAAGCAGAAGAGGTCAGCAAGTGCTGCAACTGAAGATAACAAAAAAATTCCACCTGAGGAACATCCCGTGACTCCCAGGATGGGGAAGGACCGAGAAGTCAAAAAGTGTCGCACTTGTGAAAAACCATTGGCCACCCACCAGGGGAACGCCCCTGGTTGATCGAAGCCCAGAGGGAAAAGAGGATTATTAGTAATTGGGAGCAAAGGCAGAGAGGGAGACATCAAGCCACTGGAGTAACGTACGGCATCCCACACTTTTAGGTCATGGAGCAAAATCAGACTTAGTGTCAGTGAGTGTAGGGCAGGGGGAGCCATAAAAGTGTCAATGTCATGATGGGGGCACAGTTGGACAGTTTCAAAAGGACCCAAAGAGGAACATCAGAGGAAGCATGCAACATAGACAGTGGGGCAATCTGGCTCGCCTTGTAATACTTAGCTACATTAGGCAACCCAAGACCTCCCTAGAGTTTATGGATAAAAAGCGCATCTCTTTAAATTCTGGGGCATCTGTTGGTCCAGATGAATTGCATAATCCTCGCCTGAATCAGCCGCAGAAAATGAGGAGGAACCCAAACTGGGAGGGTGTGAAAATAATATAACAACTCAGGCAGGATGGTCATTTTCACTGAGTTGATCCGTCCTATCCAGTACAGGGGAGGGAATTGCCAAGACTGCGTAAGAGAGGACACAGAACGATAAAAGGGATAATAATTTGCAGCAAACAAAGAGCAATAGGTAGGGTTCAGGCGGATGCCCAAGTATTCAAGTGAAGAGGAAGCCCATTTGTAAGGGGAATTAAACTATAAACGCAAAACCAAATCTGAGGCCAAGGAAATATTGAGAGCGATAATTTTATCCAAATTAATACGGAGACCTGAAATCAGAGAGAAACATGCAAGGACCTGTTGCAAATCTGGGAGCGTCGTCAAGGGATTAGTGAGAGTCAAGAGGGCATCATCCGCAAAAAGGTTCAATATATATTCCTGTCCCGCATATGGAACACCCGATACATTACAATCAGCCCGGAGCGCAAAAGCCAGCGGCTCAAGAGCCAGGACAAAGAGTGCCAGGGACAGGGGGCATCCCTGTCTCATCCCCCACCAAATAGGAAAGGTGTCTGAGAAGTGCCCCGCATACTTAACCAAAGCTGTAGGAGAAGAATATAAGGCCTTAATACAAGAAAGAATAGAGTCCACAAAGCCCCAACGGGACAGCACGAACAGCAGCTATTCCCAAGATAGGGAATCAATAGCTTTATATATGTCTAGGGACAGTACGAATCCCGGGATTTATCGGTGTTGTAGAAGGTGTATAACGTGGACCACCTTATGTATGTTATCACCCGCCTGTCTCCCAGTGACAAAACCGACTTGATCCCTATGGACCAAACTACGCAAATATTTATTTATACGAAGACTGAGAATCTAGCGCAATATCTTCAGATCTTCATTAAGAATAGAAATGGGCAGAAAGGCTTGCGGTTCCGGCACATCAACCGTTGTCTTAGGAATCACTGAGATATGAGCACTGAGCGCATTCGGAGAGGGCAAAGAACCCTGTTGTAACTCATTGAAGTAACCCGTCAAAAAGGGCTCCAACTGGGTCGCACATTTCTTATAATAGAGGCCTGAAAAGCCATTAGGGCCCATTAGGGCTATTGCGTGCCATAAAACGTACATTCCACGAGTCAATTTCATAAAAATTCCTAAACTTCAGCAGGAACTGGGCACATTAATATGAAGTATATATTCGGATAGCTAATTTTAATGTGAGTCACACAAGACCTTACATGACTATATTAGTACCTACAAGAGAGAAGAAAGCAGTCTCTTTTATCCTGAGTGACAAGGATATGCTATGTTTGGTATCTTTGCGTTGGGAATATAATTCTAAATATTAACCTGCCAGTTGCTAGGATGTTACCTGTACCTCTTGAAGGTTATTGACCTTAGTATGAAATTGTAAGGGATTTGGTCATAACCTTGGTTACTGTCTAACACCCATCTCCAAACTGGATGATTGGTCATTTGTTCTCAGGAGACATCCCTTTGAGATGATAGAAAAAGACTGACAACCTGGAGAAAGAAAGCTCTCCTTTAACATCGATCAGGAACCATCTAAGAGACTTGAGAGCCAAGGCAACCTTTTCTTCAGACAATTGGACTCTGCTCAAACCAAGGACTTTTGCAAGTATTCTGCCTTCTGAACTCCTTTCTTTTATTTCTCTGTTGTTTTATTGCTCTCTTTATATCTTTGTTACATCTTTTTCTGTAAATATTTTAATTGCACCATTTTGACCTTTTTAGTAATAAATCCTGTTTTCTGAAAAGTGTTGAACTGTCTTTAAAGCTTTTAATGCAAACTAAAGAATCTCTGTCTCTTGAAGAGTACTACTGTATGTAATAATCCTCTGAATATATCTGTCTGTGGTGACAGTGTGTATTACAGACGCTTATACTAATATCATAGTGTTGCTGCTAAGATTTGTGAGTTTCCTCCTTCTCTGTAAAAAGGTGGTGGTGACAATGTGAAGGGTCAATTGCGTAATTAACCTGACCCAGTAACAATCGCTCTCAGGCTGCTGGCACATAGAGTGTAGTCCCACAAGCTGGAAAATCTTTGTGCAGGGCGCAGCTGAGAGTGGCAATGTTACGCAAGTGACAGTGTGGTGTAAGATCGGCTGTTCCTTCGGTCATGAGTTGGTGAGAAGGGCTGGGGTTGGACACTGCGTTACATCACACAGACCCCACAGGGAGTCATAACCGGACCGGTTTGTGGGGTTTCTTTATTCACCTCTTTAAACTCAGTGACTCACATATAATGAAGTAGCACCATTCTGTGATAATACAAATAAAGGCTGCAAATTTTTGTGCACTTACTTCTCGGACAGGCACTTTTTAATCTGCTTCACATTTTCATCTAT